TCGCCTCCAGGCTGCACCGCTCGCCTCCAGGCTGCACCGCTCGCCTCCAGGCTGCACCGCGCGCCTCCAGGCTGCACCGCTCGCCTCCCCCCCCCCAGGCTGCACCGCTCGCCTCCAGGCTGCACCGCTCGCCTCCAGGCTGCACCGCTCGCCTCCAGGCTGCACCGCTCGCCTCCAGGCTGCACCGCTCGCCTCCAGGCTGCACCGCTCGCCTCCAGGCTGCACCGCTCGCCTCCAGGCTGCACCGCTCGCCTCCAGGCTGCACCGCTCGCCTCCAGGCTGCACCGCTCGCCTCCAGGCTGCACCGCTCGCCTCCAGGCTGCACCGCTCGCCTCCAGGCTGCACCGCTCGCCTCCAGGCTGCACCGCTCGCCTCCAGGCTGCACCGCTCGCCTCCAGGCTGCACCGCTCGCCTCCAGGCTGCACCGCTCGCCTCCAGGCTGCACCGCTCGCCTCCAGGCTGCACCGCTCGCCTCCAGGCTGCACCGCTCGCCTCCAGGCTGCACCGCTCGCCTCCAGGCTGCACCGCTCGCCTCCAGGCTGCACCGCTCGCCTCCAGGCTGCACCGCTCGCCTCCAGGCTGCACCGCTCGCCTCCAGGCTGCACCGCTCGCCTCCAGGCTGCACCGCTCGCCTCCAGGCTGCACCGCTCGCCTCCAGGCTGCACCGCTCGCCTCCAGGCTGCACCGCTCGCCTCCAGGCTGCACCGCTCGCCTCCAGGCTGCACCGCTCGCCTCCAGGCTGCACCGCTCGCCTCCAGGCTGCACCGCTCGCCTCCAGGCTGCACCGCTCGCCTCCAGGCTGCACCGCTCGCCTCCAGGCTGCACCGCTCGCCTCCAGGCTGCACCGCTCGCCTCCAGGCTGCACCGCTCGCCTCCAGGCTGCACCGCTCGCCTCCAGGCTGCACCGCTCGCCTCCAGGCTGCACCGCTCGCCTCCAGGCTGCACCGCGCGCCTCCAGGCTGCACCGCTCGCCTCCAGGCTGCACCGCGCGCCTCCAGGCTGCACCGCTCGCCTCCAGGCTGCACCGCGCGCCTCCAGGCTGCACCGCTCGCCTCCAGGCTGCACCGCGCGCCTCCAGGCTGCACCGCTCGCCTCCAGGCTGCACCGCTCGCCTCCAGGCTGCACCGCTCGCCTCCAGGCTGCACCGCTCGCCTCCAGGCTGCACCGCTCGCCTCCAGGCTGCACCGCTCGCCTCCAGGCTGCACCGCTCGCCTCCAGGCTGCACCGCTCGCCTCCAGGCTGCACCGCTCGCCTCCAGGCTGCACCGCTCGCCTCCAGGCTGCACCGCTCGCCTCCAGGCTGCACCGCTCGCCTCCAGGCTGCACCGCTCGCCTCCAGGCTGCACCGCTCGCCTCCAGGCTGCACCGCTCGCCTCCAGGCTGCACCGCTCGCCTCCAGGCTGCACCGCTCGCCTCCAGGCTGCACCGCTCGCCTCCAGGCTGCACCGCTCGCCTCCAGGCTGCACCGCTCGCCTCCAGGCTGCACCGCTCGCCTCCAGGCTGCACCGCTCGCCTCCAGGCTGCACCGCTCGCCTCCAGGCTGCACCGCTCGCCTCCAGGCTGCACCGCTCGCCTCCAGGCTGCACCGCTCGCCTCCAGGCTGCACCGCTCGCCTCCAGGCTGCACCGCTCGCCTCCAGGCTGCACCGCTCGCCTCCAGGCTGCACCGCTCGCCTCCAGGCTGCACCGCTCGCCTCCAGGCTGCACCGCTCGCCTCCAGGCTGCACCGCGCCTCCAGGCTGCACCGCTCGCCTCCAGGCTGCACCGGCTGCACCGCTCGCCTCCAGGCTGCACCGCTCGCCTCCAGGCTGCACCGCTCGCCTCCAGGCTGCACCGCTCGCCTCCAGGCTGCACCGCTCGCCTCCAGGCTGCACCGCTCGCCTCCAGGCTGCACCGCTCGCCTCCAGGCTGCACCGCTCGCCTCCAGGCTGCACCGCTCGCCTCCAGCTGCACCGCTCGCCTCCAGGCTGCACCGCTCGCCTCCAGGCTGCACCGCTCGCCTCCAGGCTGCACCGCTCGCCTCCAGGCTGCACCGCTCGCCTCCAGGCTGCACCGCGCGCCTCCAGGCTGCACCGCTCGCCTCCAGGCTGCACCGCTCGCCTCCAGGCTGCACCGCGCGCCTCCAGGCTGCACCGCTCGCCTCCAGGCTGCACCGCTCGCCTCCAGGCTGCACCGCTCGCCTCCAGGCTGCACCGCTCGCCTCCATGCTGCACCGCTCGCCTCCAGGCTGCACCGCTCGCCTCCAGGCTGCACCGCTCGCCTCCAGGCTGCACCGCTCGCCTCCAGGCTGCACCGCTCGCCTCCAGGCTGCACCGCTCGCCTCCAGGCTGCACCGCTCGCCTCCAGGCTGCACCGCTCGCCTCCAGGCTGCACCGCTCGCCTCCAGGCTGCACCGCTCGCCTCCAGGCTGCACCGCTCGCCTCCAGGCTGCACCGCTCGCCTCCAGGCTGCACCGCTCGCCTCCAGGCTGCACCGCGCGCCTCCAGGCTGCACCGCTCGCCTCCAGGCTGCACCGCTCGCCTCCAGGCTGCACCGCTCGCCTCCAGGCTGCACCGCTCGCCACCAGGCTGCACCGCGCGCCTCCAGGCTGCACCGCTCGCCTCCAGGCTGCACCGCTCGCCTCCAGGCTGCACCGCTCGCCTCCAGGCTGCACCGCTCGCCTCCAGGCTGCACCGCTCGCCTCCAGGCTGCACCGCTCGCCTCCAGGCTGCACCGCTCGCCTCCAGGCTGCACCGCTCGCCTCCAGGCTGCACCGCTCGCCTCCAGGCTGCACCGCTCGCCTCCAGGCTGCACCGCGCGCCTCCAGGCTGCACCGCTCGCCTCCAGGCTGCACCGCTCGCCTCCAGCCTGCACCGCTCGCCTCCAGCCTGCACCGCTCGCCTCCAGGCTGCACCGCTCGCCTCCAGGCTGCACCGCTCGCCTCCAGGCTGCACCGCGCGCCTCCAGGCTGCACCGCTCGCCTCCAGGCTGCACCGCGCGCCTCCAGGCTGCACCGCTCGCCTCCAGGCTGCACCGCGCGCCTCCAGGCTGCACCGCTCGCCTCCAGGCTGCAGCGCTCGCCTCCAGGCTGCACCGCGCGCCTCCAGGCTGCACCGCTCGCCTCCAGGCTGCACTGCTCGCCTCCAGGCTGCACCGTGCGCCTCCAGGCTGCACCGCTCGCCTCCAGGCTGCACCGCTCGCCTCCAGGCTGCACCGCTCGCCTCCAGGCTGCACCGCTCGCCTCCAGGCTGCACCGCTCGCCTCCAGGCTGCACCGCTCGCCTCCAGGCTGCACCGCGCGCCTCCAGGCTGCACCGCGCGCCTCCAGGCTGCACCGCTCGCCTCCAGGCTGCACCGCTCGCCTCCAGGCTGCACCGCTCGCCTCCAGGCTGCACCGCTCGCCTCCAGGCTGCACCGCTCGCCTCCAGGCTGCACCGCTCGCCTCCAGGCTGCACCGCTCGCCTCCAGGCTGCACCGCTCGCCTCCAGGCTGCACCGCGCGCCTCCAGGCTGCACCGCTCGCCTCCAGGCTGCACCGCTCGCCTCCAGGCTGCACCGCGCGCCTCCAGGCTGCACCGCTCGCCTCCAGGCTGCACCGCGCGCCTCCAGGCTGCACCGCTCGCCTCCAGGCTGCACCGCTCGCCTCCAGGCTGCACCGCTCGCCTCCAGGCTGCACCGCTCGCCTCCAGGCTGCACCGCTCGCCTCCAGGCTGCACCGCTCGCCTCCAGGCTGCACCGCTCGCCTCCAGGCTGCACCGCTCGCCTCCAGGCTGCACCGCTCGCCTCCAGGCTGCACCGCTCGCCTCCAGGCTGCACCGCGCGCCTCCAGGCTGCACCGCTCGCCTCCAGGCTGCACCGCTCGCCTCCAGGCTGCACCGCGCGCCTCCAGGCTGCACCGCGCGCCTCCAGGCTGCACCGCGCGCCTCCAGGCTGCACCGCTCGCCTCCAGGCTGCACCGCGCGCCTCCAGGCTGCACCGCTCGCCTCCAGGCTGCACCGCGCGCCTCCAGGCTGCACCGCTCGCCTCCAGGCTGCACCGCTCGCCTCCAGGCTGCACCGCTCGCCTCCAGGCTGCACCGCTCGCCTCCAGGCTGCACCGCTCGCCTCCAGGCTGCACCGCTCGCCTCCAGGCTGCACCGCGCGCCTCCAGGCTGCACCGCTCGCCTCCAGGCTGCACCGCTCGCCTCCAGGCTGCACCGCTCGCCTCCAGGCTGCACCGCTCGCCTCCAGGCTGCACCGCTCGCCTCCAGGCTGCACCGCTCGCCTCCAGGCTGCACCGCTCGCCTCCAGGCTGCACCGCTCGCCTCCAGGCTGCACCGCTCGCCTCCAGGCTGCACCGCTCGCCTCCAGGCTGCACCGCTCGCCTCCAGGCTGCACCGCTCGCCTCCAGGCTGCACCGCTCGCCTCCAGGCTGCACCGCTCGCCTCCAGGCTGCACCGCTCGCCTCCAGGCTGCACCGCTCGCCTCCAGGCTGCACCGCTCGCCTCCAGGCTGCACCGCTCGCCTCCAGGCTGCACCGCTCGCCTCCAGGCTGCACCGCTCGCCTCCAGGCTGCACCGCTCGCCTCCAGGCTGCACCGCTCGCCTCCAGGCTGCACCGCTCGCCTCCAGGCCTCCAGGCTGCACCGCTCGCCTCCAGGCTGCACCGCTCGCCTCCAGGCTGCACCGCTCGCCTCCAGGCTGCACCGCTCGCCTCCAGGCTGCACCGCTCGCCTCCAGGCTGCACCGCTCGCCTCCAGGCTGCACCGCTCGCCTCCAGGCTGCACCGCTCGCCTCCAGGCTGCACCCATATATATATTGTTGCCTCATGCGCCTCATGCCTCATGACATATATATTATGTGTATATATCATACATATATTTTTGTATATATGTATATTCATATATATATTGTTGTTCTTGTGTGCTATCCTTCCCCTGCTTCAAACTTTATGAGGCACCTCGTGCTAATACCCATCTCCCGCTGTTGCCCTTGCTGTTTGCTGGCGGCGGCCTTGCATTGCATGGCATTGCTGCGGCGCCCATCAGGTGTTTCGTCGGTTGGGGCGACGAGAGGAAGCACAGGCACTGCTGCAAGGCTCCGTGAAAATCCTGGAGGTATGGGGTCGCGACTCTGTAGGATGGTGCATGGGCTATATGCCTATATGGCCTTATGACTGTGGTGTTAGAAATAGTCAGTCAACACTTTGTACTATATTCTATATCGGTTAGGTTACTTTGTAGGTTGGGTGTAGATTTGTAATCCCAACCCTATCTGGTTGGGATTCCCTCGTAATCCTGCAAATCTGCCAACTCACCAATTGGAGATTTGCTAGGATTCCCATCCCATCCTTTCCCTAGCTTTGCTCAACCCAACCGTGTTTGTACTTAAGGCCTCGTGCCTTCCTTATCAATCAATCAGTTCAGTTCCAATTCTATCATGTGGAGGTATAAAGCCATGTTGAATGATGCGGACAGACATGCCCTGGCCTTACTAGCATGTCAGTATGCTCCAGAATCACACCCAGCACAATGCATGGCAGTGCTTTTGTTAGCTGCGCATGTGCTGATCAGCTTTTGTACGTTCACGCTTGCTGGTTTGGGCAGGGCAGTGCGGGCAGTCGAGGAACAACAGCCATGGCTCGACCCATGATGCTGCTGGCACAGGTGGGGTGATGGCTGGCTCGCGCACAAACTAGGGGTGAGTAGTGTGAGCAGGGCAGTGCAATGCCATTTGTGACCATCCACTGGTTCTCCTGGCAGATTCTTGTGCAGTCAGCTCATTCAATTCTGATTTGAGTTTTTTCAAAAGCCATTCACACCTCTCTCTTTCTCTCTCCCGTTGACGTTAAACAGATGCTTGTGCAGTCAGCATCAGCACCAGCGGCCACCCTCCCCGCATCTGCGGCTATCAATGGACAGCGGCAGGGGCAGCAGGGGCAGCAGGGGCAAGAGCAGCAAGGGGACAGCAGCAGCAGTAGAGGCGGAGACGCGGAGCTGCTGAGAGAGGCTGAAAGGTTGCAGAGACGAGCCATCCATGCGGTTGAGATGGGTGAGGTGAGTCAACACCGCGGTGGAGATGGGTGGGGTGAGGTGCATTCTCTGCGCCGCAGAGCACCGAGGCACCCTTACACCATACGTTCTCTTCCCCCGCCTCCATAGATTGCCCTTTACATCACTGCCACACCACTCTCTGCATCTCTCTCACGCCACAGAGGCACCTGCACTGGCAGGCTGCGGGCTTGCTTGCAAGCCTTGATTTTGAGGCGCCACAAAAACCAGCACTGGCGGCCGGGCTGCGGGCATGCTTGCAAGCCTTGCATCGCTGGCTGCTACTCTTGTGCCCACCCACGCCACACTCTCTGTATCGCTTCTGCTTGCCCGCACTGCCACACCACTCTCTGCGTCATTCTCTCCCAGGGCACAGAGGCACCAGCACTGCTGGCATGCTCGCACCGTTGGTGTTACCCTTGCACTCACTCACAAGTCACGCTACACTCTCTCGAATGGTCCTTGCACTGACACTCTCTCTGTGTCTCTGCCGCTTACCCGCACTGACACACCACTCTGCATCTTTCTCTCCCAGGGCACAGAGGCACCGGCACTGGCAGGCATGCTCACACTGTTGGTGTTACCCTTGCACTCACTCACGATGTTAAACAGCTAGAATTGATACATTGAATAATGAGCCAAGAGGCTCTTTAGTACAAACAATGAGCAAGAGAGAGATGAGAGGAAAGCTTACCCTATTGGCCAATAAGTTGGCCAATGGGTGAGCTTGCTTGTGACCCAAGCAACCACAAATGTGTGTTGGTTGGGATTGGTTGAGCTAAGGACCAATCCCAACCAACCACAAAATGTGGTTGGAGGGTACACTAAGCAACCCCCCAATTTATGAATGTGCTACACTTCTAGCCTATGTATGTTGTATGAAATATGAAATTACAACACAACCCCCCAACATGCATAAGGCTAGAAGGCTAGAGTCAAGAGGCGGGAGGCGACTTAGGAGGAGTGAGGCCAAGAAGACGAAGTAGGAAAGAGTGAGCGGCATGAGGAAGAGCTTTTGTGAAGATGTCGGCAAGGTTGGCCGCCGAGTCAACCTTGTCGAGGCGAAGGTGCCCCGCCTGAACAAGATCGCGAATGAAGAAATGATCGAGCTCAATGTGCTTGGAGCGCCCGTGAAACACAGCATCTTTGGTGAGGTGAATGGTACTAGCATTGTCACACCAAATTGTGGGACAGCGCTGGGGGGCACCAAGTTCCTCAAGAAGGAAGGTGAGCCAGCGGGCCTCTTGCGCAGCCATGGTGGCGGCATACAATTCCGCCTCGCAGGAGGAGAGGGCTGCAGCCGAGGAGCGGGTGGAGCGCCAGCTGATAAGGCCGCTGCCAAGAGAGAAGCCATAGCCCTGGGAGGAGCGACGATCTGGCCGGGAATCAGCCCAAGAGGAGTCACTGTAGCCGCTGAGGAGAGGTGGGGAGGGGCCGCCAAGGGTAAGGACATAGTCCTTGGTGCCACGAAGGTACCGGAGGACACGCTTGGCGGCCTGCCAGTGCTCTTCCGTATGCTTGCCTGCGCCAACAAAACGAGCGAGGACGCTGATGGGGTAGGCAAGGTCAGGGCGAGTGGAGACCATGGCGTACATGAGGGAGCCGATGAGCTCGGGATAAGGATGGGAGGAGGCTGAGGGGGAGGTGGGTGGAGAGAGGTGGTGCCCGACAGAAAGAGGAGTAGGTTGGGCGCCACCGCGGACCATGTCAAACCGCTCCAAGACCTGCTGCAAGTAATGACCCTGGGAGAGAGAGATGGTGCGGGCGGAGCGGTCGCGGGTGATGGTCATGCCCAGGTAATGCTGCAGCTCGCCCAAGTCCTTGCATTTGAGACGGCTGCCCAACTCAGCCTTAACACGCTCCAATTCGCCAAGGTCGGCAGTGAGCAGAATCATGTCATCGACATACACAAGGATGTAGAACGGGGAGGGGCAGGTGCGGAGGAAGAGGCTGGCGTCAGAGCGGGAGGTGCGGAACCCAAGTTCAGCAAGGGTGGCGGCAAGCTTAGCATGCCACTCCCTCGGGGCCTGTCGAAGCCCATACACAGGGCGACGCAGCTGCCAGACAGAGTCTGCAGGGAAGGGAAGGTGAAAACCGGCTGGACGCTCCATGTAGATAAGCTCGCGGAGGACGCCTTGGAGGAAAGCGTTAGAGACGTCCATCGAGTGGATCTCCATATTGAGGCGAGCGGCGAGGTCGAGCACGGCGCGAACAGTAGCAGGCTTGGCAGTGGGAGAGAAGGTATCGAAGAAGTCAAAACCATACCGCTGCGTGAACCCCTTGGCACAGTAACGAGCCTTATAGACGGGCGGCTCCCCTGGCAGCTGTTTGACGCGAAACACCCACTTCCCTTTCACCACGTTCGTAGAGGAGGGAGGGCGAGGCACATCAACGAAGGAGGAGTTGGCGACAAAGGCCTCCAGCTCCTTGATAATGGCGGCGAGCCAGAGTGGGGCGTCGGGGCAAGCCATGGCCTCCTCATACGTGGTAGGGATGAAAACGGAGGGAGCAGAGGAGAATGCGAATACTGGTGTCTCAGAAAGGTCGAAGGTGATGGGTAGAAGGGAAGGGTCACAGAGGTGGAGGTCAAGGAACTCCTCATGTGAGTCCTCGGAGAGGGAGGTGTGGAAGGAGCGGATGACCGTTGGTGCCGCTGGTGCCGCTGCACGTGCCGCTGCTGGTGCCGCTGCTGGTGCCGCTGCTGGTGCCGCTGCTGGTGCCGCTGCTGGTGCCGCTGCTGGTGCCGCTGCTGGTGCCGCTGCTGGTGCCGCTGCTGGTGCCGCTGCTGGTGCCGCTGCTGGTGCCGCTGCTAGTGCCGCTGCTGGTGCCGCTGCTGGTGCCGCTGCTGGTCCCGCTGCTGGTCCCGCTGCTGGTGCCGCTGCTGGTCCTGCTGCAGGTGTCGCTGCTGGTCCTGCTGCTGGTGCCGCTGCGGGTGCCGTTGCGGACGCTGCTGCTGGCGCCGCTGCTGGAGAGGTGGCAGAGGGGGCTGCTGCAGGAGGAGGTTGATGCAGAACAGCCTGGAAGAAGTGGTGAAGGAGAGGGGAGAGTGGGGGGAGGGTAGAGGTAGAGAGGGTAACAGGGGGCGGTGCACCAAGGATACTGTCACGTGACCTGGTATGGGGGTACCGGGTAAGTACGGTGCGGGGAGGGGGGGAAGGACGAGTCGGCGGCGAGGGAGGTGAAGGAGGGGCGGGAGGGGCACTAGGAGAGGAATGTGTGGGGGAGACGGGAGAGGACAGAGGTTCCGGGTCAAATATATCACCAGACGAGGGAGGGGCACCGCGGGATGGGGACGACGGTGGGGGGGGGGGGAGGGAGGATGGGGGGGGGAGGAAGTAGTGGGGGAGGGGTGGTGTCAGACCAGACAAGGGGACGGGGAAGACGGGGGAGTGGGTCAGTGGATGGGGGAGAGGAGTAGTAGGGAGTGGACTCATCAAAGACCACATCCCTACTGCGGAATAGACGACCTGAGGGGGGATGGAGGAAAAGGTAGTCAGGTGAGGAGGAGTTATGACCAAGAAAGATGCAGGGAAGGGTACGAGGGGCAAGCTTTCCCATAGAGCGGGAGCGGTCAGTGGGGTGAAGGAGAACATAAGCCTTTGAGCCCCAGACACGAAGAGACGAGACATCAGGTTTGTTGTTCGTCCACAGCTCAGTGGGGGTGGTGGATGGGAGAAGAGGGTGAGGGTAAAGGTTAGTAAGGAGGGCGGCATGAAGGAGGGCGTAGCCCCACAGAGAAGGAGGGCAGGAGGCGTGGACAAGAAGACACCGGGCAGTTTTGGTGATCTCTCGAACACGACTTTCAGCCACACCGTTCTGCTGTGGGGAGTGAGGGAGGGTGTAAGTCTGAAGAATGCCATGAGACTGACAATAGGAGGATATTTGGTTGTTAAGGAACTCACCACCACCATCAGAGTGAAGGCGGCGAACAGGGCGCCCAAAATGGGTATTTGCCCGCTCGAGCCAGGCGATGATCGCAGCCGGGGCATCTGCCTTCGTCCGAAGGAGAGAGACGGACGAGTACCGACTGTGATCATCGACGAGTACGAGGAGGTATCGATGGCCCTGGCGAGTGGGAGAGGGATTGGGGCCCCAGAGGTCCATGTGAACAAGATCAAGTGGCTGAGCAGCAGCGGAGGGGGAGCTCCGGTGCGGCTGCTGCTTGAGCTTGCTCTGAACGCAGACGGTGCAGGGGGGGGCAGGGGATTTGGGGAGGGGAGGGAGGGAGGAGGGGAGACCGTGGAGGAGACCGGTGGAAACAGAGGAGCGTAGAGTAGCGAAGTTAGGGTGACCTAGCCTGTGATGGAGGAGGACGGCAGGGTGGGAGAGGGAGCGACAGGAGCAGGAGGAGTGAAGGGGAGGGCGGGAAGGGAGGTCCGGGTTAGTGGGAGGGAGAGGAGGAGGTGGGATGAGAGGGTGGAGGGGGGGACAAGAGATGACCTGACAGGAGGGGAGGCGAGGAACCCGAAGGGTGTACAGACGGGAGCGAGGGCAAAAGGGAATGCGAGAAAGGAACTGGCCGGTGGCGGAATGGTAGAGAGCGCAATAGTTAGCATGAGCTGGGAATACTGTGGTGATACCGGCTTGCTGAAGGGACCTTTGCGAAAGGAGATTAGCGCGAAGAGAGGGTATGTGGAGACCGGTGACAGTGCCTGAGGGGAAGAGTGGGCAGGGGAGAGTCGAGGTGTTATGGCAGGGGATAGAGAAGCTGCTGTCGGCGCCAAGGAGGGAGGTAGGCGTTGGGAGGGGGCGCAAGGTGCCAGCATCGCGAAGAACTGTGTCAGTGGCGCCGCTGTCGAGGACAAAATCGACAGTGGAGGAGAGGGAGGAGGAAGGGACAGAGGACTGGAACGCAGTTTCGTTAGTGGTAGAGGAGTATGTGGCAGGTGCAGTTGATGTGGCTTGATTGACCATACCAGCGATACCAACGGATGAGAAAGGTGGGACGATGCTTGAAGTGGCGGAGCTTGTGGAACAATGCGGAACTGAGTTCTGCTGGGAAGTTGGGGGAGGAGGAGGAAGAGGCAGCTGCGGTTGTAGGTCAAGGTGCTGCTGCAGGCGGTGAAGCAACTGCTGGAGCTGGAGGAGGAGGTGCCAGAGCTGCTGCTGGTGCTGCTGTTGCTGCGGTTGTTGCTGCTGCTGCTGCTGCTGCTGCTGCTGCTGCTGCTGCTGCTGCTGCTGCTGCTGCTGCTGCTGCTGCTGTTGCTGCTGTTGCTGCTGCTGCTGCTGCGGAGGAGGAGGAGGAGGAGGAGGAGGAGGAGGAGGAGGAGGAGGAGGAGGAGGAGGAGGAGGAGGAGGAGGAGGAGGAGGAGGAGGAGGAGGAGGAGGAGGAGGAGGAGGAGGAGGAGGAGGAGGAGGAGGAGGAGGAGGAGGAGGAGGAGGAGGAGGAGGAGGAGGAGGAGGTAGAGAGAAGGGTTGACTCGGGGCATGGTGGGCTTGGGTGGAGAGTTTACACTGAAGTCCCCGAGTCGGGCCATAGCGAGGCACATATTCACGAGGAGAGAAGGCTGCTGCTGCGCCGCAGCCTGCGCTCAAACCCCTGACACCACAATATCCTGCGAGTCTCCCTTGACCACCACCACAGCTGCCACTATGCCCTCCTCCATGCCCACCGGTACCACTGCTGATGCATGCCAGTGCGACTGTTGCCATGGGGGAAGCAATGTGGGGTGTGGGCGGTCACGGCATGGCACAGGCGAGCAGGGCATGAAGGTGTGCGCAGGCAGCTGACGGTATGCGCAGGCAGCTGACGGTATGCGCAGGCAGCTGACGGTATGCGCAGGCGGGTGTGCTGTATGTGCTCCCAGGTGTGCGGTATGTGCTGACAGGTGTGCGGTATGTGCTGACAGGTGTGCGGTATGTGTTGTCAGGTGTGCGGTATGTGCTGTCAGGTGTGCGGTATGTGCTGTCAGGTGTGCGGTATGTGCTGTCAGGTGTGCGGTATGTGCTGTCAGATGTGCTGTATGCGCGTGCAGATGTGCTGTATGCCAGGGAGGTGGGCAGGGGGCGGACGAGGGGAGGGGGACAGCGAGCGGGGAAGGAGGGCGTGCAACGAGTGCGCGGACGGGGAGAGCGTGGACGACCGGAGCGCGGACGAGCAGGGCGTGCAGACGAACAGGGCGCGCGGACGGCCAGGGTGCGGATGACTAGGGCGCGCGGACGGCCAGGGTGCGGATGACTAGGGCGCGCGGACGGGCAGGGCGCGGACGCGAAGGGCGGATGAGCAGGGCGTGCGGACGGGCAGGGCGCGGACGAGCAGGGCGTGCGGACGGGCAGGGCGGGGACGCGAAGGGCGGACGAGCAGAGCGCGCGGACGGGCAGGGCGCGGACGACCAGGGCGCGCGGTCGGACTAGCAAGGGCGTGCGAGTTGCAGATCTGAGCACGCGGAATGCAGATTTGGGCGCGGGAGAGTAGATCTGAGTGCGGAATGTGCAGATCTGAGCGCGAAATGCGCAGATCTGAGGGCAGGAGGAGTAGAGCAGGGCGCGGGAGGAGTAGATCTGAGCTCGGGAGGAGGAGATGTGAGCTCGGGAGGAGTAGATCTGAGTTCGGGAGGAGTAGATCTGAGCTGGGGAGGAGTAGATCTGAGCTCGGGAGGAGTAGATCTGAGCTGGGGAGGAGTAGATCTGAGCTCGGGAGGAGTAGATCTGAGCTCGGGAGGAGTAGATCTGAGCTGGGGAGGAGTAGATCTGAGCTCGGGAAGAGTAGATCTGAGCTCGGGAGGAGTAGATCTGAGCTGGGGAGGAGTAGATCTGAGCTCGGGAGGAGTAGATCTGAGCTCGGGAGGAGTAGATCTGAGCTGGGGAGGAGTAGATCTGAGCTGGGGAGGAGTAGATCTGAGCTGGGGAGGAGTAGATCTGAGCTGGGGAGGAGTAGATCTGAGCTGGGGAGGAGTAGATCTGAGCTGGGGAGGAGTAGATCTGAGCTGGGGAGGAGTAGATCGGAGCTCGGGAGGAGGAGATGTGAGCTCAAGTCCTTGCATTTGAGACGGCTGCCCAACTCAGCCTTAACACGCTCCAATTCGCCAAGGTCGGCAGTGAGCAGAATCATGTCATCGACATACACAAGGATGTAGAGCGCGGACGGCCAGGGTGCGGATGACTAGGGCGCGCGGACGGGCAGGGCGCGGACGCGAAGGGCGGATGAGCAGGGCGTGCGGACGGGCAGGGCGCGGACGAGCAGGGCGTGCGGACGGGCAGGGCGGGGACGCGAAGGGCGGACGAGCAGAGCGCGCGGACGGGCAGGGCGCGGACGACCAGGGCGCGCGGTCGGACTAGCAAGGGCGTGCGAGTTGCAGATCTGAGCACGCGGAATGCAGATTTGGGCGCGGGAGAGTAGATCTGAGTGCGGAATGTGCAGATCTGAGCGCGAAATGCGCAGATCTGAGGGCAGGAGGAGTAGAGCAGGGCGCGGGAGGAGTAGATCTGAGCTCGGGAGGAGGAGATGTGAGCTCGGGAGGAGTAGATCTGAGTTCGGGAGGAGTAGATCTGAGCTGGGGAGGAGTAGATCTGAGCTCGGGAGGAGTAGATCTGAGCTGGGGAGGAGTAGATCTGAGCTCGGGAGGAGTAGATCTGAGCTGGGGAGGAGTAGATCTGAGCTGGGGAGGAGTAGATCTGAGCTGGGGAGGAGTAGATCGGAGCTCGGGAGGAGGAGATGTGAGCTCGGGAGGAGTAGATCTGAGCTCGGGAGGAGAAGATCTGAGCTCGGGAGGAGAAGATCGGAGCTCGAGAGGGGTAGATCTGAGCTTGGGAGCACCGTAGTAGGACTACGTCTGAGGGACGGGGAGGAGAGGGTGGCCTAAGGACCGAGGGATCAAGGCGTGAGCCAATAGCTCTGATACCATGTTAAACAGCTAGAATTGATACATTGAATAATGAGCCAAGAGGCTCTTTAGTACAAACAATGAGCAAGAGAGAGATGAGAGGAAAGCTTACCCTATTGGCCAATAAGTTGGCCAATGGGTGAGCTTGCTTGTGACCCAAGCAACCACAAATGTGTGTTGGTTGGGATTGGTTGAGCTAAGGACCAATCCCAACCAACCACAAAATGTGGTTGGAGGGTACACTAAGCAACCCCCCAATTTATGAATGTGCTACACTTCTAGCCTATGTATGTTGTATGAAATATGAAATTACAACACACGAGTCACGCCACACTCTCTGTGTGTCTCTGCCACTTGCCTGCACTGACATACCACTCTCTGCATCATTCCCTCCCAGGGCCCAGAGGCACCAGCACTGGCAGGCATGCTTGCATCGCTGGCTGCCACTCTTGAGAAGCAAGGCCGGCTGGAAGAGGCACGGGACGCTCTGCTCAGGTGACCCATGGGTTTCCTCAGGTGTTTTGATGTCTTCTTCAGGTGCTTTGAGGTCTCCTTCAGGTGCTTTGAGGTCTCCTTCAGGTGCTTTGAGGTCTCCTTCAGGTAATATTCATGGTGTTGGGTGTGCTGTGATGTGATGCTCTGTTGCTTTTGAGAGTTGATGTTTTGCTTCTCCCCATGCCATCATCCATCCTCATGTTTTTGCTGTACTCCCTTCCAGGCTCATGCTCTTTTCCTAGTCTATTTTCCGCATTGCCTTCCAATCCCGCAGGTGAATTTTGAATTGATTCAAAAATATCCCCGTTCCCTTTCCCCCTTTGGTCTGCAGGTCTCTCCATTTGAGGCGGAATGCACTTGGCTCGGACCATTTTCTTGTGAGTGACCTCTTGACGAGTGAGTGAGGATGGAGAAGGAGGGGAGAGAGGATGGGTGGGGAGGGACAGGAAGTAGGCCCGAGAAATTTGGTACAATTGATACAAAGGAGGCCTCAAATGCTGATACTGGCTGATACATTTTTTAGATTTGGATTGTTTCTTCTGATTGAATAGCATGCGCTTGTCGAATCTTTTTGACACCCTTCAGGTTTAACAGCCCTCATCCACCCACACACCCACCCACCCATACACCCCTCATCTACCCACTCACTTACCTATCCACTCCTGCAGGTAGCCAGCACACTCACGCCCCTCGCTGCAGTCACACTCAAGATGCTGAGTCGTCCACAGCAGCAACTGCCCACAGGTGCTGTTTTGAACACCTGCTGAATGGCAAACACCTGGTGATGGCAAACACCTGGTGATGGCAAACACCTGGTGATGGCAAACACCTGGTGATGGCAAACACCTGGTGATGGCAAACACCTGGTGAAAGGCAAACACCTGGTGAAAGGCAAACACCTGGTGAAAGGCAAACACCTGGTGAAAGGCAAACACCTGGTGAAAGGCAAACACCTGGTGAAAGGCAAACACCTGGTGAAAGGCAAACACCTGGTGAAAGGCAAACACCTGGTGAAAGGCAAACACCTGGTGAAAGGCAAACACCTGGTGAAAGGCAAACACCTGGTGAAAGGCAAACACCTGGTGAAAGGCAAACACCTGGTGAAAGGCAAACACCTGGTGAAAGGCAAACACCTGGTGAAAGGCAAACACCTGGTGAAAGGCAAACACCTGGTGAAAGGCAAACACCTGGTGAAAGGCAAACACCTGGTGAAAGGCAAACACCTGGTGAAAGGCAAACACCTGGTGAAAGGCAAACACCTGGTGAAAGGCAAACACCTGGTGAAAGGCAAACACCTGGTGAAAGGCAAACACCTGGTGAAAGGCAAACACCTGGTGAAAGGCAAACACCTGCTGTAATCCACCAAGGAGGAATGATTTCAGTGCTGCTATGGGCAACTCATTGGGGATCTCCTGCTTTGCACGTGCAGATGCGCCCAAGGGAGAGCGAGTAGCAGAGGATGGCGAGAAGAAGGAGCAGCTTGAGGAGGCACTTCGCGACCTGCACTGTGCTGTCAGGTGCCCTTCCCACTCCACTCCACACAGTGTCTCATCGCGCTCACTCCTCCTTCTCACTCACTCCTCCAAACCTCATCCCACTCACCTCTCTCCACCTCTCTCACCCCTCTCTATCTCACTCTCCATCAGAGTCGCTCGCAAGGCATGGCAGCAAGCAGCAGAGGAACTGACAGCTGCGGCAGCAGGAGGCGACGCGGGAGGCAGGAGGGGGGATCGGGTGCAGAGGAACAAGAGCAGGAACACACCACCCCCACCCGCGTGCCTCACGCTCCTTGTAAGTGGAGGCTTCCAGGTCTCCCCAACCGAGCCTATTTCCAAAAGAACGTGTACAGCACGTTTCTTAGAATCCCTCTCTCTCCTCTAGCTGTCATCACCATTGCCTTGACTAAGCACCCGCCCTTCTCGTCGCCTCCCCTTCCATCCTTCGCCCTCGTGTCGTGTCCCTCACCCTCCCTCTCCCTACCGGCACCCCCCATCCTATCCGTGCAGGTACAGTCTCTCGCGACTACAGTACAGGCCTCCCTCACTGCCCTGCACTTTGTTTCCTCTCTCAGTGTCAGTACCCCTTGTGACATTCGAGTCGACTCAAACTCAGCTTACCCCCCTTCCCTCCCCCGACCGGCAACCCCCCATCCCATCCGTACAGGTACAGTCTCTGGCAACATCAGTACAGGCCTCCCTCACTGCCCTGCTTTCAACGTCCTTTTACACTGTCAGTAAAGACCTCTCTCACTCACTGCCCTAGACATGCGTTACAGTCGTTTGACTCCGTTTATCGTTTATCCATGCCTGCCGTCCACTGTTACTGTTTAGCATCGCTCAAAGCATGGGCGGGCTTTTTTTTCAGGCCTTGGAAGGAGAAACATCTTTCACTGACAGACACTCGCCTTGTGCTTTACCTTCCCAGTCTTGTGGTTCTTACCTTGTCTAGTTCTTTATCCTTGTGCTGCTTTACCAGCAGAGGCAGTTACTGTCACAGCAAGCAGCATCGGATCTCAAGGAGCTTCTGCACATGCTCTCCACTGTGAGATGTCTCCCCTCTTCCCGCGCTCTCACACATTGGTGCTAGATTGAGAATTTGCAGTATTCACTTCTGCTCTCAAGGAGCTTCTGCATATGCTCTCCACTGTGAGATGTCGCCCCTCACTTTCTTGTTATTTATTGTGAATTCTTGGCGATTTTTAGATGAGCGCGTGCCAGCACTAGCCCGTGTGGGTTCTAGCCACAGCATGCAAATCGCTTGCTAGCTCACCCTCCAGCACCTCTCTGCATTCCGCCTGGACCAGCTCAGCCCCCATTCCCGCTCCTCCCTCTTTCCCCCTCCCCCCGCCTTCCACCAGGAGCCAGCACGAGCCCTTGTGGGTTCCAACCACAGTGTGCGAACTGCCTGTTTGCCTGCCCTCCAGCACCTCTCTGATTTTCTTCGGGACCAGCTCACAGACAGTGGTGCTCGTGTGGAGGCAGCGAGTCATGGTGCTGAAGAGAAGGCATGTGTGCGAAGTGGTGGAGAAATGTTGAGAGAGACTAGGATGGGTTCGAATGAGATTAAAGAGAGAGGAAATGGAAGCAGTGAAGGCGGCCAAGGCGGGGAAGGGAGGGGTAGTGGAGAATCTGCTAAAGGACCTAGCAATACTGAGCTGACGAAGCTAGCTGGACAGATGGACTTGCTTATTGCATCATTGGCTAGATGAAATGTGTGATGTGGCTAGATGACATACCCAAAAACATGTCCGGAACTTGGGTCTGTCTGTAGGCGAATCAAGAATGTACACCTGGCGAAATGTTTCGAAATGGGTGTTGATCAACAGTGTTCACGTCTTTCGCCCCATGATGGCTTTCGCCAAGTTACCCTTTCAAGGTTAGTCGCTTTTCTCGCTTCAGCAGTCGGTAGTGTTCGGTGCGGCATGGTGGAATAAGAAAAGACGAGATACAGTATTAAAATTCAGTTCACTTCCTTCAAGCGAGCCAGGTCTTGTGACCTAGTCTAGCATAGTATTGACTGGCTCCTAATCTCCAGTCAATTTTTGCAGTCAATTATCAGTCGCTACTATCTTTAGTCTCGTCTGTTCGTTCGCAGTCACGCTTCCATTTTCACGCGCTCCTCCTTTGCCGATCGCTCTCCTCCGCCTGCCTCCTTCATTCCATAGTGCGCGTCGTATTCGCGGGCTGTTGATTACGCGGGCTACGTTAAACGACCTTCACCGCGAATATGTTTCGAGGGGTGTTCGGCCGGTATGCAGCCCGCGAAGCCTCGTTCCTAGAAAAGCCGTGCCTACCGTGCTTCCCCACCGCTAGGAACCTTGTTCCTCCACTCAGTGTCGCTTCTTTCCGCTTCCAGCCATCTCCCTTTCGCCGTCATATTCTACTTAGCTCCGTCGATCCATTACAATAAAACATTAACTCTAACGAACTTCCGTTTTCCGTTGCCTCCCCCACACTCGCTTACCCCAATTTCCCCCCACCCGTTCTATCCCTTCCCCCAGCGCGCCTGACCCTCCGCCAAGCCAACCGACCCCCCCTCAAGCTCCCCCCGCGCACACCAACCCGCTCTCCGCGCATTCGTACCCTTCCCCTTCCCCAAACGCGCCCGGTTCCGCGGAAGCCGCCGCCGCCGCCGCCGCTGCTGCCGCGGCGGCTGCTGCTGGTCCGCGGCAATATCAAGAAGCGAGAGACGTGGGGAGGGCCGGCAGCGGCGGTGGCAGGGGAGGGGGGGGCGTAGGGGGAGGGGGGAGCTACGGCGGAGGGGGGAGTTACGGGGGTGGGGGGGATCAAAGGGGACCTGCGGGAAGGGGTGGGGGAAGAGGGGGGAGTTTAGGGGGAGAAGGAGAGATGGGGGGAATGGGGGGGTATTCCGGTGGACCCCCACCTATGGGTATGGCACAGGGGGGGATGGGAGGGGTGGGAGGCATGGGAGCGGTGCAGCAGCAACTGTTACCCGTGCTTGAAAGCAAGAGGTGAGGGATGTGAGGTGGTGAAAGGAGAGAGCCGGAAGAGAGAAAGCGAACTGAAAGCGAGTGAAATGTGTGGCGGGATTCGGCTAGAGTGGCTTTCCTTTCAGGTGCTGATGGTTTCAGTGCTTTTCTCAAGATTCGCGGTCAATATCACTTGTTCTGCCCGATATTCCCCGCTACAACTGCTCCCTATGTTTCCCTTCAAGCCCTGCGGAGCTCTTCCAGCTTCTGACGGACCCCAAGGCGTATCAGCAGCTGCTGGAGGAGATGCCACAGCTTAAAGAAATGACCAAGGTATGCCATTGCGTGCGTGGTGGTGTGAGGTGGTGCGTGGCGGTGTGAGCTGGCGGTGAGTGGAGGAGCTCCTCCAGCTTCTGACGGACCCCAAGGCGTATCAGCAGCTGCTGGAGGAGATTACCAAGGTACGTTATATCTTGCATGCTCGGTGGCGTGAGGTGGTGCATGGCGATGCAGAGTGGTGCATGGTGTTGTGAGGTAGTGTGTGGCCGTCCCAAGGAGGCGTGCACTTATGCGACTTTTTTGTGTGCACTCTTTCCTTCCTGTGTCAACTATCATCCTGCCTGTCATCGTTTCTACTTTCACATCGGTATGTCGTTCCACCAATCACGTGTGCCCTGCACGTGCCTTTTCACTCCAGGTGGTGGACGATCTCAAGAAGGGCAACGAGGAACTCGCCAGTGAGGTCCCTTATCCCCCTCCTGAATATCACACTCACACCCTTCCTATGTCACTCCACTCACGTGCGCCCTGCACTGCACGTGCCCTTTCACGCCAGGTGGTGGACGATCTCAAGAAAGGGCAACGAGGAGGTCGCCAGTGCGGTTCCATCCCCCCCCTGAACATCACACTCACACCCTCCGTGTGCCCACTCATGCCTTCTCACGCCAGGTGGTGGACAATCTCAAGAAGGGCAACGAGGAACTCGCCAGTGAGTCGCCATCTCCCTCCCTCCCTGGCCTCGCACCCATATGCACATTCCGCCCTCTCGGATACACCTGAAACCTCTCTCAACCTACCTGCATTTACTTGATATTTGATTTCACTCGGGAGACAGCTGCACTGACACACTGTCACAGTTCATGTAACTTGGATTCTCGTTCATTATTGTTCATTCGCCCCTGGTGGTTCTGTTCTTATGCTGCTCTTTTATTGTTCTGCAGGGTCGACGCTGGCAATGGAAGCAGACATGTCAGAGCTGAGAACACAGGTACTACAGCCACCTCCATGGTAACATGGTAACACCCAAGACGTGTCGGCTGTACTGTTAGTCTTTAAACTTCCTTTCGCCAACTTCTAAGTCTCTGTGTCCCTCTATTTCCAACCTTCCATCGTGCCAGTGTCGCATCACCAGGGGCACGGAGCTGGCTTCTCTGGAGGAGAGGTTGGCGCAGCTGGTTTTGATACGCCTTATAATATTAACTTCCTCGTCTCATTCCTGCATTGTGCCAGTGTCGCATCATTAGGGGAACGGAGCTGGCTTCTCTGGAGGAGAGGCTGGCACAGATGGTGGGGCAGCAGAGAGCACTCACGGACAAATGGAGCCCTGGAGCTCTCGTGCAACAGCTAAAAGGTACATTGTACATGTACAATAGTGTTTCCTTGGGTATTTATCCGCTAATGTACCTATGTCGCCAGGTTGCCAGACTGAAGTTCCATACGAGAAATTTTGCGGTTCTGATTGTTTGTTTTTTCTTTGTGGCCCACACGCATTTGCTTTGTTTTCTTGAGCAGATAAAGCAGAGGAAGTTCTCAAATTTAGCGAACAACGGAATGATTGGAATAGAAACGAATGGGGTACAAATGAGCAACCCTAGAAGCTGTACCCCCTAGAGTGCAACTCACTATAGCCTATCATATCAATGTTCAACATTTGACACACCCCCATAGCAAGGTGAACAAACGGTCACAAGACCAGTCAAACCAAGAACCAAGGCAAGCTCAGGGTGGATCTCAAGGACACCACACAAATTCCGAGCGCAAGCAAGCGGCCACAAGGCCAGTTCAAGAGTTCACTAGGATATAAATACAAAGCACAACAAGCAGAGCAAGCAACAGGACTACACCAACCGAGGGCCTACCTCAACAAGCCCCAACTGCACACAGAACCTGTGGTGGTCACCAAGCGCCAAGGCCTTGGTGAAGACGTCTGCAGTGTTGGCCTCTGAGGCCACAAAGTCCAGGCGTGCCTGACCGCGTCGCTGCAGCTCTCGCAGGAGGAAGTACCTCACGTCAATATGCTTCACTCTGCTCTCCAGTCGAGGCTCTCGACACAGGAGGATCATGGCCTTGTTGTCAGCGTACAAGGTCGGTGCAGAGCGAGGCCGCTCACCAAGGTCAGCGAGCAAGAAGGTCAACCAGCGAAGCTCCTGTGCCGCCATGGCACCAGCGTAGATCTCTGCCTTTGCACTGGAAGTAGCCACAGACGACGACCGTGTAGACCTCCACGACACAGCACCAGCTCCCAGACTGAAGCAGTAACCCTGAGTCGAACGCTGAGTCTCCACGTCGTCAGCGTAGGAAGAGTCGCAGTGACCAGTCAACGCCACTGGCTGAGTCCCTCCAAGCACAAGCCCCAAGCCTGATGTAGTCGCCAGGTACTTCGCCACCCTCACAGCAGCTGTCCAGTGGACAGGGCGGTGTCTCCCAGTCGCAACAAAGCGAGAAAGGATGCTGAGTGGAAAGGCGAGGTCCGGTCGAGTACAAGTCATCAGGTACATGAGGCAGCCCACCAGCTCTGCGTAGGGTCCACTGGACTCAAAGGGCTCGTCAGGAAAGGGGCCCGCGAGTCTGTGGTCAACAGCAAGAGGAGTGGGCTGTGTGGTGGAGAACTGGAAGTGGAACCGCCGAAGGACCTGCTGCACCATGTGTGACTGCGTCAGTGTGATGGTGCGAGCGGCTCTGTCCCGGGTGATCTGCAGGCCAAGGTAGCGCTGCAGCTCACCCAGGTCAGTGCACTTGTGTCTCTTCTGCAGTTCGGACTTCACCTGAGCCAGGACTGCCCTGTCTGCTGTAGCAAACACCAAGTCGTCGACGTAGACAAGGATAAAGAAAGGAGTAGAACCCGCTCGAACAAACAGCGACGGGTCGGCGGAGGACGGGCTGAACCCAAGGTCACAAAGCGTGGAGCGAAGAGTGTCGTGCCACTCACGGGGCGACTGGCGGAGACCGTAGACTGGTCGCCTCAGGCTCCACTGGGTCCCAGGTGGGAAGGTGTCAGTGAAGCCAGGAGGACGGCGCAGCCAGATCTCCTCGTGCAGTCGGCCCTGGAGGAACGCAGTGGAGAAGTCGAGGGAGTGCAGCTCGTAGTCTCGCTGTGCTGCTATGTGGAGTAACACCCGAAGAGTAGTCATCTTCGGGGTCGGGGCGAAGGTCTGGAAGAAGTCAACTCCCTCACGCTGACTGAAACCCCTAGCCACGTAGCGCGCCTTGAACACCGGCGGTGCTCCAGGCGGCCGCTTCACCTTGAAGAGCCACATGCCATCGACTACGTTCGCCCTGGGAGGGGGAACTGCGTCGACGTAGGTGCCTGTGGATCTCCAAGACGCCAACTCTGAGTCCATAGCCGCTTTCCACTGAGAGGCCCACGCCCCTGACACTGCCTCGCGGTAAGTGCGAGGAGTCGGTATGTCAAGGGCATCGGGGTCTCCCTCAGGGGAGAGCAGCATGGCACACACAGAGGGAGAAGCGGCTGCCCAGTACTCTAGCTCAGACTCTCTGTCCTCTAGGACGTCACAGCCAAGGGCAAACCCACCCCCGATGGACAGAGGACGGTAGGGAGGAGCTGGCACCACACGGGTGGCGTAGTCAAGGCGGCTGGCGGCAGCAAACTCAGCGACAGTGGCAGTGAGAGCCGAGACAGACGACGGAGGGAAACGAGGGTCGGTGACAAGAGTGGTGAGGACACGTGCGGCAACAGGACGAACAGCGCGGTAGTAGTCAGAGATAGGAGTGGGGAGGGCAGGTAGAGAGGACGGAGGAGACGGGAGAACGGACACAGGAGAAGGAGAACGACGACGAGACGAACAAAGGAGGGCAGTGTGGAGGTCAGTAACAGGGGACGAGTGACGAGCACGCGGAGGACAACGAGTGATCAAGTCGCGACGGACAGAGGGAGGAGGAGACTGAGGAGGAGGAGAAGACCAGACCGCCGGACGGTCGTCAGGAGGAGGCAACGGAGGAACAAACACAGGAGGAGACTGGGAGCGGACAGGAGGAGAGGAGGAAAGGCCAAGGGCCCGCAAGCCACTCACAGGTGGGAACAACCGCCGCTCTAGAGGAAGCTGCGGTGGCGGCTGCGGCCGCTGCGGCTGCGGCTGCGGCTGCTGCTGCTGCTGTGGCTGCGGCTGCGGCTGCGGCTGCGGCTGCTGCTGCTGCTGCTGCTGCTGCTGCTGCTGCTGCTGCTGCTGCTGCTGCTGCTGCTGCCGCTGCTGCTCCAGAAGGTCCAGCACCCGCAGCTCCTGCCGCTCCCTCTCCAACCGCTCCTGCTCCTCACGCTCACGCCGACGGGCAGCCTGGAGACGCGTGTCGTGGCGGTGGGGGGGCGGGGTGGACTCCGCAGAACCAGGGTCTCCAGCGTCAGTCTCCTCAGACTCAGCACCCCCAGAACCAGTACCGCCAGTGCTAGGACCTCCAACTCCAGCACCCCCAGAACTAGCACCGCTAGTGCCAGCACCCCCAACTCCAGCACCCCCAGAACCAGCACCTCCAGTGCCGGCACCTCCAGCTCCAGCACCCCCAGAGCTAGCGCCACCTGCGCCAGCACCTCCAGCTCCAGCACCCCCAGAGCTAGCGTCACCTGCGCCAGCACCTCCAGCTCCAGTACCCCGCGACCGAGCACCCCCAGACCGAGCACCGCCAGCGGCTGCACCTCCAGCTCCAACACCAACCGAGTCCACAGTAACCTGTCGCGGAAGTGCCGAAGGCTGCTGAGGGGACTGTGAGGAGGACTGCGGGGAGGGAGACGCTACCTGACGCGCGACCGAGGGGAGAGGGGTAGCGTGGGACACACCAGACGGGGCAGGACCAGGGGGGGGCGGGGGTACCGGAGGAGCGGGAGCAGGAGGAGGAGAGGGTGCGAGGAAGAGAGGGGGAGGGGGTACCGGGAGACCTCGACAGGGGTACCGGGTGTAGTAGGACACGGACTCGTCAAACCGGACGTCACGGGAATCTAGGAACTGGTGGAGGGGAGGGTGGTAAAAGGACCAGTCAGCAGAGTCCACTGGGAAACCAAGGAAGACACAGGGGACGGCGCGTGCCGAGAGCTTGTCCGCGGAGGTGTCGCGAACAAGTGCAAGGCAGCCCCAGACTCGAAAGGCCAACCCAACACCAGGGGATCCAGTCCAGAGACTGGTCGGTGAAGCCTCGGGCCGCGAGACACGCGGCTGGAGGTTCAGCTGGTGTGCGGCGTAGCGAACCGCGTGAGGCCACAGAAAATGGGGCGCACGGGCATGAATCATGGACGTGCGGGCGATGTCCATGACCAAGCCTATGCGGCGCTCAGCAACCCCATTCTGCTGTGGGGACTCTGGCAGCGTCCAGGACTGGGTGATGCCCTGTTCGCCGCAGAATCAGCCGAGAATGCCGGAGCGAAACTCGCCCCCACGGTCGGAGTGAAGACAACTGACTCAACGACCACGAGTGCCCTCAGTGGCTAGAAGCCACCTGATCAGCGTAGCAGTCACCTCGGACTTCTTCGCAAGAGGAAACACTGTGGTGTACCTGGAGAAGTCGTCGACGACCACCAGAAAGTAGCGCTCCCTCCCAGACCCCTGCGTCGGGGCAGGGCCCCAGACGTCCAAGTGGAGAGTCTCGAAGGGAGCGGTGGCCGGACGAAGGGAGGAGGAGTGGGGAGTGGCACGTAAGCGACCGGCGACGCACGGAGAGCAAGGAGGGGCAAGCGAGGGAGGGAGCGACGGGAAGGTGCGTGGGAGACCTGTGACTAGTCCCTGACTGAGCATGCCACGAAGGCGAGGGATCGACGGGTGGCCAAGACGGTGGTGCCACAGGACGGTGCGGTGGGCGAGAGAGCGACAGGAGCAAGACGCAGCGACTGGACTGGACACAGCGACCGGACTGGACACAGCCACCTGACCGGACTCTGCTACCGGGGGGGACGAAGCAACCTGACCAGACGCAGCTACCTGCGGGGGCGGAGTGTGCAGGACGAAGAGACCTGAGTGGGGCTCTCTGGTGAACGTGGCAAGAACTGCCCCGGTGGAAGAGTCCGTACAGATCGCAGTCCTCCCATGCGCAGGAAAAGTGACTGTGATCCCCCGGTCCTGAAGGTATCCAACACCCACCAAGTTCCGAGAGAACGAGGGGATGTAGAGACCAGTGAGGAAACCAGAGGGGACAGCCGGGCACGGGAGGGTGGTCGAGCTACGAGCAACTGCTGGTCCTGAAGTAGGATCAGCCAGGGCAACTGGGACTGGAGCCGAAAGAGGTGTGACAGTGGTGTGGTCGCGGAAGAAACACTGAGACGCGCCGGAGTCCAGCGTGAAGGAGAGCGACGCAACAGCAGTCGTCACGGCTGGGCTAGTGACTACACAAGCACCTACACTAAAAGCACAAGTACCGACACTAGCAACAGGCAAAGGTCCTAAGCTAGGTACACGTAAGCCAAGAGATCCGTACGTGACAGAATAAACA